TGATCTGCTGAATATGATGTTTGACATGAATGGCACTGTCCAGTAAGAACAGGTACATTTTTATGCACTGTGTGGCCTTTGACACAAGTTACTAGAGGTATATCATGAGACCGGGATGCCTGAAGCAATGATCTGGGACTGCAGGATTGAGTTGCACATACAAATGAGGTTGGACAAATGACAAGAGCTGGCTGAATTTTATCATGTGATATTGCACCTAGTTTTCCACAATAATTTCCATCTTGATCATAAGGTGACAAGCTCAAGTCATTTGCAAATGAGTCAAGTTTTCCAGCAATCAATTTAATTCGATGTTTGTTCCCATCATTTTCCCAAAGAGACTCTGAGTATTCATAATCAAAAAATAATGATGAAGTTCTTTTTTTGCCCAGTTTGTCACTTAAAGCATTTACAAGGGCAGTAATCCAACCAGATGTATGAATCTTGTTTTCTCCAGTTTCTGTTGGATGCTGTTGGCAAAAATGCAGATTCAGCAAATCAGTGTTATCTGTCAATGAGAACAAGATTGCCAATACAGTTGCCAATGTACACTAACTGGGCAAAAAGATTGTCCAATCATTTTTTGGACAAAGTTGGTGCTATAACACAAGAATCAAACATTTTGAGAACTAAGCTTTAGTTTATGAAATATAGCTAAGGAGGTGTAGATTGTATATACCAAGTCTGGGGATGAACAATTGAAAACTCAGGATAAGGCAGGGAGTTGACTGTGACAAGTGCCAAAAATGGGATGTAACAAAGTGGGAAATTCTGAATGACTGCAACCTACTGAAAGCAATTCACAACTTGAGGAAGAGATATTTTGAACACTGGATCTCCCTGCCATTGTTATGGATTTCATAAAGTCTCTGGGCTAGAAAATTTTATATCCTCCTCTAAAAGGTAAATTTGAACTTATTCTCCATTTTATGTATTTTTCACTCAATATATTTGTTGGAATGAGGTAAAATGACTCCCTATTGTTGTTTGTAGTGTGTATAATACAAAAGGTAGGTAGAAATGTTAAAATGAACATTGCATGAAGTCTGTAGAAGTTAATTCCCAGAGTTTTTCTGGCAGTAAACAAGTATCTACAACA